TCCATCTGTCTGGCTAGTCCCAGAGTCCCTGACACCTGCTTCTCCTAGAAACCTCAGGGATAACCAGGCAGGCCCCACAAATGACTGCAGCTCTCAGCATGCAAACCTCAGATTCCGAGCCTCACAGACCACAGTGGCAGCCCCCAAACTTGGACTGCAGACAACCCCCGGAACCCAGCAGAAAGGGAGCACCGGTGGATGAATCTGACACCTGGGCCACAGAGGTGTGCAAAAGCAGCAACTAGGAGATGGCTCCTTGAGGAGGCTGAGGGCTGGGTTTCTGGCATTTTCAAGTGAGATGGACCTTTAAGGAACATGAGGTTCTTCCCACTATTAACTGCGCCAAGGAAACCAAAGCAAGAGAAGGTCCAGCCATTAACCTCAGCTTGCCTAGTGAGCCGTCGATGGGGAAGTCAGGCCCAGCTGCCTCCAGATGCCCAGGCCAGCACCCTTTCCTAGTCTCCTGATCATAGGTACCCAGCAGCCCTCAGCAAGCAACCACTTCAGCACTCCCAAGGCAGCTCGGCTCTGATGGGAAAAGCAAGTGATGCAGCCCAGGGTATAAAGAGAACTGGTAGATTTCTGTGTGGACAGAAATGAGTGCTTCATGTGAAGGCAGGTGGAACAGAGAGAGAACCACAATCCACCAGGGTCTCACTGAGCACTTCTCTTGTGAGTCAGGAAGTGGAAAGTTAAAGAACAGAGAAGAAAGCTGGCCTTATAGGTGAGATGACAGATCTGGTGAGATCCCTTCGGGGACCTGCAAAGCTGTGCCCAAGAAAAAGATTACCAAGAGAAGAGACTCGATATTCAACATACTCAGTTTCAGGAAGCAGCAGAGAGCCCCAGGGCAATGTCTCAGTGGACGATGCAGGACTAAAGGAAGAGAGAAGGGGCAGACTTGAAGATACAGATCTGGGAATCATATATGGAAAAAAAAGGTTCCAGAACTATAAAATTTCATGATCTTACCACCAAAGACTAGGTAAGGAAACTGAAATACAGAGACTCCAGCTAAGAAAAGGTGCTAAGATCAGCTGTAAAATGGCAGTGGAAGAAGTGCAAAGGGGGAAGGCACATTTAGAAGCTGCTCAGAAGGACAATAAATCTAAAGCAACTGAGGTAAAGGATGGAGACATGAAATGTGTCAAAGCAGCAAGGATGAGGGCATTGGAGAGGGCAGGAGGGTGGGCTACAGCGATCCCGAAGAGCCTGCAGGCAGGCATCACCACACCTCGACTCTCCCTATTTCAGTGGATGAGTGCACCGAACAGCTCCAATCTGTTCCAGTCCTCAGCCCAGGCTCTGCAAACTGCAAAGCAGTTCTGAAATGCAAGGGAGATCTTACACACATCCCCGTCTACCATCCCATTTTAACTGGGGACTACATGCGTGAGCGCAGAGGTAAGGGAGTGCCCATACAGCAAGGCCCCATCATCACTGGTGCCTGATTTGAGAAAACAGAAGCAACTGGGTCACAGGAAGAACCCCAGTCCCATGACGACGGTCGAATGTGATCCCAGGGCCTGAAAGTGACCCTAGACCCCATCACCAGACTCTGACTTAGCCCACCTCAGGGCTGCCACCTGGTATGCTGCTCCCAGCCACCCCAGGACCACTGCAACTAATTTGTTCTTGCTTCCCACAGCTGAACTAATAATAACGGCATACAGTCAAGTGGAACGGCACCTTGAAAGCTCACTGACGGGCTGTAAGTGGGTTAAAGCTGAGTCAGCCCCATGCAGTTAGTAAAACCAAATCGTTAATGTGTCTCCACCACACACCAGGATTGAGAAAGAACAAAAAGAGCACAGCAAACAAATTCAGTTACCCATGAACAACGTGGGAAATATGACTTTTTCTTGCCTAATAAAAGAAAGGAAAACATATTAAACAGTAATACAAATACTATTTCCACACCATGCCCTAAAATTAGTCCACGCCCACCTACACACAGCCCAAAAGGACTCAGACTGGCTTACAAAAATAGAGCACGTTACGTAAGAAGTAACTACATAAAAGTTATGGGAAAAAAAGAATGTTTTTGAGGGAATTCAAGTGACTACGCTACACATGAAATGTGTGTTCTTTTAGATGCTGAGACAAAGGGTTACCACAGCTGAAGGAAACAGCTCAGCACCAGGGAAGCAGGCACAGCAGCCCACGTTTCAGGAACTGGCAGAAGTGATCACAGACTGGGCAAAATTCTGATTCCAAAAATCCCTCAAATGACCAGAATTTACAAAATACTTTTGAATCCCATAAAGCAATATAGCCCAGCTAAGGTATATCGTTTTATGTGAGAAAGCTTCACTGCATCTAAAGCTGTGAGGGGGTAGGAAGGTGGAGGGAACACATGTACAGTCACATACATGCACACGCACACAAACCTACTCTGATTACGTCTTTTCCACAGACAATCCTGCCACAGGCTTCTAGCGGCATCAGTAAGCTCTCGCCACAGTGTTACAGACTCCCCAGGAGTGAAGGGAGGGCAGGCAGATTCCGCAGTGGAGGGCTTTTTGAAACGAGGAGCTTTTCTCATGCTGAAACTACAGGCCATGCTTCTCCACTTCTATACAGGCAGGCTTTTGTTTTTTTTTTAAACCTGCCAGAGTGTAGAATGAATCCAGGAATCGGGATATCCTGCCCTTCCTTTTGCACCTGATACACATCTTGGTTTTTATCCAGTCAACAGGTTGGCAGGAAGAAAGGCCAGAGGTAAAAAGCCAGGCAGGCTAGAAGCCAGAATCAAAGCAAAGCAGCAATAAAGTCAAAACACAGCAAAACCCACGAAAGAGTTATCCTCAGGATGCAGCAACTAGAAAGCCAACTCCCAACAGGTTAATGTTTCAGTGTGCACACACAATCCACTTATCACACCAGCTAAGCACTCGCACAGTGGCCAGCCCACAAAAGCAAATTTCTTGATAGAACAGGCACAGTGTAAAACCAAGTCTCTGTAACTGTTCCTATTGGGAAACACAGCACATTTCCAGGTTCAGTTCAAGAAAAAAAGCCTACACTTGCATCTATGATGCTCCCAAGGGACAGGGGTTGAGTCCGTGTGCCCAAGGCCCACTCCTGGTTTCCGCTCACACTGAGTCCCCACATCTCCCTGAGAGCAGGTTCACCTCTTGGCAATCCCTGACCTGGTGCTCTGCACTGGGAGGCAAGTGGCAGGCAGGAGTAGTGACCCTGAACAGGCAGTGTCATCCTTCCCTCATCGTGACTGTCCTGAGGGCTGCCACACACACAGGCACCTGTCCAACCAATCCATTTATGGTTCATGCCTGCTCTCATGTCATAAGGCACCTGAGGCCCATCAAGAAATATGATTCCAAGGAAAGATTAATAACTACTCTCAGAGAGGGTCATTATATGTTGCCGGAAAAAATAATTAGGCACTGTTTCCAACATTTATGAAGACTTCCCCAAACGTTCTCCATATCGTTTGGGAAAATGGCTATGCTCATGTGAAACCATCCAGCCATTCCATTTACCATTCCAGCAGAAAAACAAGGGCTACCTCAAGTCTGCCTGAAACTCCTAAGCCTGAGGAAAATCAATTTTATATTTATTCCACCCGAGGAACCCCAATGGTTAGAATAAAGTTCTGATTACGGATCAGCATGGTAGCAATCCCAGGACTTTGGGAGGCTGAGGAAGGAGGAACACTTGAGCCCAGAAGTTGGAGAACAGCCTAAGCAACATATTGAGACCCCATCTCTTAAGAAGACAAAAAATAAAAAATTTCAAAAAAATTTTTTTAAAAGAATAAAGTTCTAATTTAATTCTTTTTAATAGTGATGATTTACAATGTGCTTTTAATATAAAGTCCTTAATGAAATGTATATAATTCAGGGTAAAATTCTCTTAAGGGACAGATATCAACCAAAACACTCCACTACAAGGATAAGACCCTTTTCAGAGTGCCCTGTGTGTCAAATCTGGCCCCTTCTAAATGTGCTATCATTATTGGGGATGGCAGAAAATAACAGCTGCCTTAAGAAACTGTGAACATTTCTAGAGTTGTACCTGCTCTGCTTTCACAGAAAAGCAAGAATTACCTCTATGACTCAAAGCAGAGATAGTGGCAAGGGATCATGGGTGCCTGTTAGCTGTTTCAATAACAACCTCAGCATCCCCAGGCCTCAGGTCCTAACTAGTGACCTACATTAAGGCAACCATGTAGTATTTAAAAATAAATAAGTAAACTGAGGTAGAAAAATACACATGACATGAAAAGATAATGGCAATATAAGTCATGATAGGCACATTGCAAAGCAATCTTTAAAGTATAATCCCATAACTGTGTTAAAACAACTTATGGATAAAAGATGCATAAAAATATGATTTGACATGCCTTGGCATAACTAAGGAATGCAGAAACAGCGTCAAAGCAGGAAACATTGACTTTTTAGTTCATGTACTTCTATAGCAACCCAAATTTTTGCATTAAGAATTATGATTATCACTGCTTCAATTTTAGGATAATTTTACTTCAATCTTCAAAAAAGCCTTAACTTTATACAAAAGTTGTATCTCCTAAACTGTATTTGATCCAGTGCCTAAATACTTCAAGGCCTTATATTTCTCTAAAATTCTAACAGGGGAGGTCTGCTGTAGAGTTTGCATATGTTTAATTGTGATGCTCTCTTGTACCCCTAAAAAATATTTGCAAGCTGGCCAGCCTGTAAGCGCCTGGAGAACAGGGACCTTATCACAGTCACTTGACTCACCAGAGCCTCACACTGCTGCCTTTCAAGAGTCTGCTTCCCAGGACAGAAGCCTCAGATTCAGGGTTCCTGGGGCAAAAGACTCCATGGGGACTAGAGGACATCAACAGACTTCACATCCCCTAAGATTAGAATGATAACAGCCTTCTAGGTAGGTAGGTTTGTCAAGCTGAGTTTAGCTTTGCAAGGCTTCATTATGCTCACTTAATAATCTGTAACTTTACTACTCAAAAAATCTCACTGAAAACATTCAGGACTTACCCTTTGTCGAAGAATGATGTATGCCCTGTTCGAGAGAACTTTGTGCCATTGCCATTCAGCACCCCACAGTTAACATTCCCTGAAATATAGGATTTTCGTGATGCTTGGTCCTTTGCAAAATTCCTGCAAGCTGCTAATTTGGATTCTAAAGCCTACAAAAAAAGGAGGAGGAATGATATGGTTGTCAAAACAGTAGCTACACATAAAAATCTGCATTTCAAACCATTTCCATTTCAAGCCTCAAAACCTACTCATCTCTGTTGATAATGATGGTTAGTTTTCAGACACAATCACCTTGCTAATAAAAAAGGGAATACTTATATTCCCTTTCTAATGAGCTTCGAATATTTTATGTATTCGTCTTAGCATTACTTCTTCCCCTTATAACTAAGAAAAGCATGGCACAGGAGGCCCGGCAGATCCCAGGTCTCTTGACCCTACCCAGTGTTGGTTTCTAAGGTGTAGGCTGTTGGTTGGTGTTGGGGGGCAGGATGCATTTTGGGAGCAAGCACTACTAAAAATCCCAAAAATATCACTTGAGAATTTTTTTTAGTGCAGCCAATTCTTTCTCTAAGTTCTTCATTTTTTCTACTGCATGGGAATGGATGAGAGAATTTACAACACTTGACATGAAATTAAAAGCTGTTTTATTTCTCAGAGCATTCTGTAAAACGTTTAACTGATACCCTTTGTCTGCAATTAAATAATTCACCTGCAAATGACACTGGCTCTTCAGCATTTCCCTCTAAATTGGGCACCCTTGTTTTGTATCTGTCAGCACAACACCTGGCAAGCACCAGGCTCTACCAATAAACAGATGACATGAAGAGATCAGGCGTTTCTCATCTATTTCCATGTGCTCAGACATCACCAACTCCCTCTTTCCCATAAACACTTTGCCCAAATCAAACCCCTCCTCCTCCAAAAAGAAAAATACCATCCGTGGCAAAAAAAAAAAAAAAAAATGCAATTCATGTCTATTATCTACTACACTAAAGGACTGGGAATGCACAGCTAAATTAAGTCCACAGGTAACATATACTTCACTTTGAGAATCCATTCAAACTTCCTCCCCCTACATTCCAATAAGAGCTATTAAGAAACAGCAACGACGGCTGGGCACAGTGGCTCATCCCTGTAATCCCAGCACTTTCGGAGACCAAGGCAGGTGGATCACTTGAGGCCAGGAGTTTGAGACCAGCATGGCCAACATGGTGAAACCCAGTCTCTACTAAAGAAAAAATTAAAAAATTAGCCGGGTGTGGTGCCACACACCTGTAATCCCAGCTATACACCTGTAATCCCAGCAGGAGGCTGAGGCACAAAAATCGCTTGAACCCAGGAAGCACAGGTTGAGCCTTGGTAGCACCACTGCACTCCAGCCTGGGCAACAGTGCAAGACTCTATCTCAAAAAAAGAAACAGCAACAAAAACAGACCAATTTTTTTCTTCTCTTTCTTTCCTATGACAAAAGTACAATGACCTAGTAAAATGACAACAGAAAAAAAGAGAGGTAATGACCTTGTAAGACAGACTCTGAATAAGCACAATTCAACAATAATTCAGCAGCTTATTAAAACTACACACACACAGTAGAAATTGACAGCCATTCATTTTCCATATTCATTCATTCAAATACATTATTGAGCATCTATCACACAGCAGGCACAAGTTACGTCTGAGACATCAGTGAGGCATCCAAGCACAAGCAAGCAGGTCTTTTCAGGGGAAAAGAGTGGTCTAGAGATAAGGATTTCAAAGATATCCACACCCAGCGGTGGATGAAACCATGGTTGTGATTAAGATCAGAAAATCAAGGACAGAACTCTTGAGTAAAACCAATACTGAAAGGGTGAGCAGATGAAGACCCAACAAGACGACTAAGAGGAATGCAAAGAAAGTTGGGAGCAGCCACAAAACAGCATCAGAGAAGCAGAGAAAAGAGGGCATTAATAAAAAAAAAAAAAGGTCAGTGTTGAATGTTTCAAGTAAAATTAGGACAGAATAGCATCCGTTAGATTGGGCAGCACTGAGAGCACCAGTGAGCAGTTTTAGCGGCATGAGCAAGGGACAGAGCCCAGGCTTACATCTCTGGGGAGTGCACATGCAGTCAAAACGCTAACAATAAATGGAGACATGCTTTCAAGAAGCTTTAAAGTATGTGATATGTACCATGTAAGTACTATATATATTTATACGGATAACATGTAATACAGAAATATTAAAGTATACATGTATAATACATAACATATAATGTGTAATACATAAATGTTACACATAAATATTAACACATATATAGCAAAAGGTTGAAGATACAGGAGAAATAAAGATTTGAGGGTTGGAAAAAATGAGATCCGAAGCACAGATGGACAAAATTAGCCACGGGCAGGAATTTGTACTTTCACCACTGGGACAAAAAGGAGGAATGGCTACAAATAGAGGTAATAATAGGAGGGTAGTAACAGATGATGAGAATAGAAATCAAAGGACCTTAAAGTAAATGGCCTTGATTTTCTCTGTGAAGAGGGACTTCCAGTACAGCAGACAAAGCCAAGTAAAGAGACATAAATGAAACATTCACAGAAGCAAACGAGGGCTAATGGGCAGCGGCAGACCAAAAGTATTGGTGACTTTTGGAGGTCATCATTTTGATGACTCTTAGAAAACAGATTGTCGGCTGAATGCGTAAACCATTCAAGGATGCCAAATTAAACTTTCATGTACCACTCCTGAATAAATTAAAATACTAAAGCAAAACAAACAAGGCACAAAGACAGACAACATGGGGTTGAGGAACAGGTAGAACTAACCCGAGAGTAAAATGAGGAGAAATTCAAGAGCGATAACAATGCAGCGGCCCTAGAAGCACATCCGGGCATCCTGCAGAAAGTATGAATAAGAAGCTGGAAGACGTAAGAGCAAAGAAAAGTGCAGGTTTCTTCTACCCAAAAGAAAGAAGGGGAAAATAGAAATGCTAGGAAAAGAAAACGGCATACAGGTCGGCTTGATATGAATATTAAAAAACTCAACATGATTTTGAGTAAATTACAGTTAAACAAAATTCTCAAAACACATTTGTTGAGTGGCACGAATATAAAGACCAGAAGTGAAACTGTTCTGGAATACAAGGCTCACACCAAGGAGAAGGCGCTGAAGTTGAGGCGGCCAAGGAACAATAAGGTGGGCAGGACTAAGAGTAGAGAGTGATGCCATGAGCCAAATGTTAAAGTCCCACAAAATACAAGACAAGGGAATGACCAGGAAGACGGGAGACAGCAGCAAAGACCAGGATGAGGGTGGTAGAACACACAGCAGGCCTTAGACAAGGACAGAGGCATTGTGCTATTGGAACAGGAATGGGAAACAGAAAGAATGCCCGGGGGAGCCTCTGAGCTCAGGATACAGGCTTTTCTGCAGAGACAGCATGGAAGTGTCATCTGGACTAGCCTCTGGCTAGTCACTGGATGCTTTTACTTCTCAGCTTCATTACAGCCTTTACCACAGAAAAGTATCCTTTCTTTCTTTCTTCACTTCAAATTAAGAAATAATTCGGCCAGGCACAGTGGCTCACACCTTGGCACTTTGGGAGGCCAAGGCCGGTGGATGACCTAAGGTTGGGAGCTTAAGACCAGCCTGACCAACATGGAGAAACCCCGTCTCTACTAAAAATACAAAAAGTTAGCCAGGCATGGTGGCACATGCCTGTAATCCCAGCTAGTTCAGAGGCAAGAGAATCGCTTAAACCTGAGAGGTGGAGGTTGCAGTAAGCCAAGATCACGCCACTGCACTCCAGACTGGGCAACAAGAGTGAAACTCCACCTCAAAAAAAAAAAAAGAAAAAAGAAATAATTCAATGCCTTTTCAGTGGAAACACCTAGTGATCAATAATTGAAACTTACCCCCACTTTGCGTAAGAGATCCCCCACAATGTTCAGTGCTGATATCCTAGCAGAAGGAGTTAGTGGACTGGTACCAAAACCATTTGGTATAGCTATAGAAAAATAAAAGATGAGTGATTACACTTGCATTTCCCTTTACATTTGGGTTTGGCTGTTGAGATTACAAAGCAGTAATAACACTCAACACAATATCAATAAACTACTTCCAACTATGGATAAAGTCTAGATACCATAGGCAGGTTTAACCACTCTCCAATTGGTGAGCATTTACATTATGTCAAATTTTTCACCATTACAAATAATGCTACAAGGACATATACTTTTACACATCTAGATAAGTATTTCTGGAAAAGATATTCCTAAAAATAGAACTGCTAGGTCAGAGCATATGCCCATTTTTTTCACCTTAATGCTCTCTAAAAAGCCTATACCAATATCAGCAATCTATGTGGTGGTGCCCTCAATAGTATCAGATATTATCTTTTTTTTTGACAATTTGATAGTCATGTTTAGTTTCTATTTCCAAAGTAACTAGTCACTTGAATCTCTTCCGAAAATCAGCTGCTTAGTCTTTGTACATTTTTTTCTACTGGTTTGCTGGGAGGCCGAGGTAGGATAATTGCTTGAACCCAGGAGGCAGAGGGTGCAAGTGAGCCAAGATCGTACCACTGAACTCTAGCCTAGGCAACAAGAGCAAAAATCCATCTCAAAAAAAAAAAAAAGAAAACAAACAAACTTTGTAAATAGTAAGATACAATTAGAGACAGACTACTTCAGAAAGATCAGCTCTAAGATCTCACAGATTTCTCTGATCACCTGCTGCTCCTTGCAATTCTGTGCTTTCTTGCAATGAAACTGCAGTGATCTAGTACACAGCAGCTTTTAGGTTAGCCAGTGAAAATGTATGCTATTGGTTCCAGCCTAAAAACATACTATTAAGCAAATATTACTGCCATAGGGTTGCCACATCTCATGCTGTGCCAGAGCAGGCTACATGTCCCAATGACTCCCCAAGTCCAAGAATGAAAACTCTAACAGGCTATTAAAAAAATACATGTACCACCTGTGGGTGTCACTGCAACTGAGGCTTTTAACTATCCTGATTAGTCCTCAACTAAAGGATTTTCACATCTGCATAATTCTAATTAGTAACATAATAGCAAAACTTTGTTAGCCCTCAGATGAAATTGTGAAATCTTCAAATACACAAGCAGCTATTCTGAAAAACTGATAATGAGGGCTCCTGATGACTGCTATACTCTATTGCCTGCCCTTGTCCTCAACAGTAAAGATGGCATAGTAGCGCAATTAGTCACACCTTACGACCGTATAGCACCTTCACATACCTTATCTGATGTCACCTAGTAACAAGGCAAAGGCAAGTTGAATTATCTACTCAAGAGCTACTAAGCACTTGAAATGCGGTTAATGTGAACAAGAAACTGAATTTGTATTTCATTTAGATTAATATAAATTTAGGCCAAGGCGGGTGGATCACGAGGTCAAGAAATTGAGACCATCCTGGCCAACATGGTGAAACCCCATTACAAAAATTAGCTGGGCTGGTGGCGCGCACCTGTAGTCCCAGTTACTCGGGAGGCTGAGGCAGGAGAATTGCTTGAACCTGGGAGGCGGAGGTTGCAGTGAGCCGAGATCGCGCCACTGTACTCCATGGCACCTGGTGACAGAGCGAGACTCTGTCTTAAAAAATAATATATATATAGTCACACGGGCTAGTGACTACTTTATTGAGTAGCACAGACATAGCTCACTGTACTAATTGCCCACACAGCATTTTGAAAGACAGAATCCTATAATTCAAAAAGGGGTGGGATGACAGCTTCTAATATAGGGTGAAAAAAAAGCATGGGGGGACAAGAGAAGCCAAAATATGAACTGTGAGCTACAAAATCTAAACAAATCTCAATTGAGAGCTTTGGGATTCCATTTTAAGGTTCTATCTAGTAGCTAAGTGGTTTTTCTGCTTATTTGGATTTTTAAAAACACAGTGGCTGATGGCCACATGCCTATTCTGTATATACCAATCATCAATTACTCTGCAAGATGCCTTTGAAAACGGCAGCTCCTGAAGCATGTAACAAAATGGGCATGTTCATCCAAGCTGGTACATGAGTCTGAAAGGTAACTTAATGATTCTCTGTACATTCTATGTAGAAAGGCCTCAGGTCTCCCATAAAATGCAAAGTGGCAAAAGGAAGAAATAAGACTGTGTTTAAATATGATCCCCAGATTTGTATGTGACAAAGAGATGTGCATAAACACAAACACACAATTAAAAAACCTCCAAATGTTAATACTGGGTGTCTGTAAGTGATAACATGATTTTTATTTTCTTTTTTGTCTGTGTTTAATACCTAAACATACTGCTATTATCAAAAAACCTATTGCTATAATCAAAAAATAAACTTTCCTTAAAAACCTTTAACTTTTATAAATCTCATCTTAAATATAGCCATCAGTTCACTGTTTCCTATGTATGAGTGGCCCAGGAAGACAATTCCTTCTTCTGTTTCACATAGCACTAGACTTCACCAACTTTTAAACTAAAATTACTCTAAACCTTAGCAACCCACTTCAGCAACAAACCCCCTTAAGCTGATAATCTAACACAACACCTCAAAAACAAAAGACATTACAAACCTTTCGGTGAAGGAAAAGTGTTCTCCGTTCCTTTGCCAACAGGGGTAGCTGGCAAAGAGAGTGACGCTTGGACAGCAGAGTCCATCTTTTCACAGTCTAGAGTTGGAGAGCTAGGAGCCGACTTTCTAGTTACTTCCTGCTGTCTTTCTCGAACTGCTAGTTCTTGCCTTAAATCTGTAAAATATTGCAAACAAGGGAAGGAATACTCACTAGAGGGAGAAAATATATCAAGAAAAGTGACATCTAAAATGTTGTAAAGACTTTCTTCCTAAATTACCATTTCTCAAAAAATGATTTTCTAGTTATTAATAATTTTTATATCTAGGGTAATAAAAATGGCAAAACTACTATCTAAATGATCTTTCAGAATTTAAGAATGTTATAACCTGAGAGAAGCTACTTATACTAACATGCAAAAAGAAACAGTGCAGAGTACAGAGTACAATTCACGCAAAAGTAAATATTCTTCACCAACTCATTTGCTTTTATTTTCAAATGCGTAGTTTTGGGATTATTGCAAAACTGACTATGTGGATTTTTGTAATTTTAAATGGGTTGGTATTAACTATCACCACTACGAAATATTTAGTTTTAGAAAAGAAGTGCTTGGAACAGTTTAAAGTTTTTTCATGCTTTCAAATATCAAGGATTTTTTTTTTCTTTTTTGAGACAGGGTCTTGCTTTGTCACCCAGGCTGGAGCACGGTGGCACAATCTCAGCTCACTGCAACCTCTGCCTCTGGGTGCAAGCGATTCTCATGGCTCAGCCTCCCCAGTAGCTGGGATTACAGGCACCTGCCAGTAATTTTTTGTATTTTTAGTAGAGACAGGGTTGCACCATGTTGGTCAGGCTGGTTCGAACTCCTGACCTCAAATGATCTGCCCGCCTCAGCCTCCCAAAGTGCTGGGATTACAGACATGAGCCACCACACCCAGCCAATTGAGTTTTTAACCAAAAATTAATGTATTCTTCTCCAAATATGCAATTAATCTACAGAATATTTGCTTATGTTAACAAAGAAACAAAGTCATCCCCCTTTTGGGTATGTATCCAAAAGAATTCAAAACAGGATCTCAAAGAGATATATTTGCACACCTATGTTCACAGTGACATCATTCACAATAGTCAAGAGCTGGGAGCAACTCGACGTCCACCCACAGATGAACAGATAAAGAAAATGAATGCATATAGTGGACTATCATTTAGCCTTAAAAAAGAAGGAAATCTTGTCACATGCTACACATGGATAAACCTTGAGGACACTTTGTTAAGTTTAATAAGCCAGTCACAAATACTCTATAATTCCCCTTATATGAGGTATCTAAAGTAGTTGAACTCATAGAAAGTAGAACTGCAGATGCCAGGGAATAAAAGGAAGGGAAAATGAGCAGTGACTATTCAATAGGCATAGTTTCAGTTTCGCAAGATGAGAAAGTTCTAAAAATCTGTTTACACAACAATTTCACTATACTTAACACTACTGGACTGTACACTTAAAAACGGTTAAGAAGCCAGGCACAGTGGCTCACACCTGTAATCCCAACATTTTGGGAGACAGAAACAGAAGGATCACTTAAGGCCAAGAGTTCAAGACCAGCCTGGCTGACATAATGAGACCATGTTGCCACAAATTTTTTTTTTTTTTTAATTAGCCGGATGTAGTCGCACATCCCTGTAATCCTAGCTACACAGGAGGCTGAGGTGGGATGATCACTTAAGCCTAGGAGTTTGAGGCTGCAGTGAGCTATCATCGCCCCACTATATCCCAGCCTGGGCAACAGAGCAAATCCTGTCTCAAAAAAAAAACAAAACAAAACAAGGGTAGTTAAGACAGTCAATGTTATGTGTTTTTTACCACAATTATAACCAAGTGAGATATAAATTACGAGAAGTTCTTCAGGTAAATATACCACTTCCTCAGGGGGAAAAAAAGGACATAATAAAACTATCTCTGAAAGATTCAATAAACACTGGACAAGAAGTTTCACAAGTAGTAAATAAACTACAAATCAGAAAACAAGACAGCAATTTTCAACTTTCAAATGGACTGATATTTAAATTATTTTGTTAATAATTATTATTAGCAAAGCTGTAGAGTATGAAGCCACTCAGTCGTTACCGCTAAAAAGATTTCCTTTGCCTCTCCCTAAAGAAATCAGCAGATACTCCTAACTATTATAAATAGTGCTGTGACTAAGATCTTCATAACAAACAAACTCATTACTAAACATAACTACATAAGAGGTTACCCAACATTTTGAAAATCTGTTTTAAAAAATTTTTTATTGCCATGGACTGTATTTTCTACATTAAATTGTGGAAAAGGGGGGAAAAGAAATAAGGGTGCATGTAAGTGTCTGTGTGCCTGCATAGTATGGTCTTTCAAAAAAATAGACAAATATGTACAGTCATAGGAAACACTGGAAAGAAATTCAACAAACTGTTAGTGGGTTCTCTCCAGATAAAGGATTGGCAGTATTTTTTATTTTCTTCTTTGTGGTATTTTGAATTCTATAATGCGTAAGGAAAAAAGTGGGAGAAAAGGAAAATTTTAAAGGAAAGTATATATGAAGTATATATATAATATGTATACGGCAGTATGTATACTATTTATGTGTATGTATACTATGTGTACCTACTGCTGTATACATATTATATAGTTTTATTATTTAGGTAGGAGACCAGCCTGGCCAACATGGTGAAACCCCGTCTCTACTAAAAATACAAAAGTTAGCCAGGCATGCTGGTGGGCACCTGTAATCCCAACTACTCGGGAGGCTGAGACAGGAGAATTGCCTGAGCCTGGGAGGTGGAAGCTGTAGTGAGCAGAGATCGTGCCACTGCACTCTAGCCAGAGCAACAGAGCAAGACTTCACCTCAAAAAAAAAAAAAAAAAAAGTATAGCTTTGAAAAAGTTGACCCTAAGCTTCTTCTTGCATAAGGACAGTAAGGTAAGGGATGACAGTTTTCCCTCAGGATACATGGGGACTGGTTCTAGGACCCCCACCTACACCAAAATCGGCACATACTCAAGTCCCACACATGGCCCATAAATATGAAAAGTCAGTCCTGCGTATACAGGGCTTGAATGCTGTGTATACTGTATTTTCACTCTGTGTTTGGTTGAAAAAAAGTCAGTGCACCCACACAGTTCAAACCCACATTGTTCAAGGGTCAACTATATTCTTTAAGTTATAAATTTTACCTCTTGCTTCATCCTTTAACCTCTGTACAGAGACCAACAAAGATTCCTTTTCATCAAGTTCACTTTCTAAAAACGCATTTCGTTCAATGGCCTGATTTAGCCTCTGTTCAAAGTCTTCCAGTGAAACTATTGTTGCCCTAAAAAGAAAAATTAGAATACATGAATTAAATAAATAACACATGCAGACAGTACAAATGAAAACTGTCATTTATCTCGTGACATTTCCTGACCTAGCCAGGCTGGCCCCATCCAAAGAAAACGTTCTTGTCCCTTCCTGACCACTGATGGCACGTAGTGTCTCTATCATTTGGGCAATATATTCAATATATTCCCTTAAATTCCCATCTATTCCATAATGTTCCCTACAGATAGGCTAGTTGTTACGCTATTTATATCTAACACTGTATTTTGAACACAATACAAAATCAAGTTCACACATTTTCAGAAAGAAAACTTTTCAACACTTGTCATGTATATATATATATATATGAGAGTTTAAAACATTAAGTGCCAAGTCAGGAAACTTAAGGCCAACTCACACTGACTTCGTAGAACTAAATCAAAAGGAAAATCCGAACTTTCCAAACACAATTAAGGAAAGCACCAGAGGCTACTCGTTGTTTTCTGCAACCAATCAGACATTTGCATAGGGTGTTACTTTATAACTTCACTTCAGCCTCTGATTGGTTGCCCTCTGCAACCAATTAACCAATTAATTAGACTGATCACGGGCCACTACTTCATTTGCATGGGGTATACACCAAGTGGCCAATGGAAAACCTCTAGAGAGTATCTGGACACCAAAAGATCCCATAACCAGTGCCCCTGAGCTGCTGCTTGGGCCCGCTCCCACCCTGGGGAGTGTATTTCCATTTTCAATAAACCTCTGCTTTTGTTGCTTCATTCCTTCCTTGCTTTGCTGTGTGTTTTGTACAAATCTTTGTTCAAAATGTCAAGAACCTGAATGACTTGCAGTCAAGACCCTCCACCAGTAACTGTCCCACTCCATTTACCTCCCACCAACCCTTTTCTTCCTGGACTTCTCAGACACTCATTCAACATTAACATGCACCTATTCTATGTCTCACACTATGTGCAATCTGCTATAGAAATAAAATTCCTTCACCTCAAGTTGGAATTTAAAGCCACATCTAATTTTATCAATTCCTACCAATTGCCAAAATGTCTCTCATATCCATTTCTTCTTCAACCTTCTGTCCCAACCTCCTCCAATCTTCTGCCTGAATGCTTCATTCACCACCTGGATACTCCTAAATGGTCTTCACATCTCCTGTCTACTTCCAATTCCTCATTACTATCTTCTCCAATCAAAATCTGATATTACTCCTTTGTTTAAAAAACAAAATTAATGAGTTCTCCATTGCCTAGACAGTGACTTTCAAACATAGCCTACTAGGTTGTTCACAGTCTGGCCCCAACCACCTTCCAGGCTCATCTCCTTCAGCCACGCTATCACTATACACATCAATCAATGTGAAATATGGGCGAGGGGCAGTGGCTCACACCTGTAATCCCAGCACTTTGAGGCCGAGGTGGGCAAATCACTTGAGGTCTGGAGTTCGAGACCAGCTTGACCAACATGGCAAAACCCCATCTCTACCAAAAATACAAAAATTAGCCAGGCAGAGTGGCACACACCTGTAAACCCAGCTACTAGGGAGGCTGAGGCATGAGAATCGCTTGAACCCAGTGGGCAGAGGTTGCAGTGAGTGCAAGCGGAGCCGCTACACTCCATCCTGGGCAACAGAGCACAACTCCCATCTCAGGAAAAAAAAAAAAAAAAAAAAAGGTCAAATATGAATACCTCAAGCACTTTCCTGCCTTTCTGCCTTTGCACCCAGTTAACGTATACTCTTCCTTGCAGACTCAGCAATGGCTTCTCAAATTCCCCCAGGTGCTCTGGCTGTTGCCTCCTCTATGCCCTTGAGCAGTTTGCCCACTTCTTTTTACTAGGCTATTAACACAGTGAATGTACCTATGTGTCACCCCCAAGGTTAGTGACCTGACTAGCTCTGCATCTGTACATTTAACATCACATCAGTAACTTAAGACTCACTGCATAAATAGGAAGAAAATACCAGGAAACAACTATAAAGTAATAGGAACTAAGTTTGGAATGATTAAGAAAAGTGGCCGGGCACGGTGGCTCACGCCTATAATCCCAGCACTTTGGGAGGCCAAGGCGGGTGGATCATGAGGTCAAGAGATCGAGACCATCCTGGTCAACAATGTGAAACCCCGTCTCTACTAAAAATACAAAAATTAGCTGGGCATGGTGGTGCGCGCCTGTAGTCCCAGCTACTCGGGAGGCTGAGGCAGGAGAATTGCTTGAACCCACAAGGCGGAGGTTGCAGTGAGCTGAGATCGTGCCATTGCACTCCAGTTTGGGTAACAACAGCGAAACTCGGTCTCAAAAAAAAAAAAAAAGAAACAAATAATAACAGATGCATGAAAGTCTGGCAAGAGTAATAGCAAGCCACTGTAGGCTGCTCAGAAAATTTGAACTGAATCAACATTTTAAGAAAATTCATCGGTCAGTATTAAAACATGAGAAGAAAAAGAATAGAAATATAAGATAGATCAGCTAGAAGATAACTACAGAAAGCAGGTATAAGATGTGAGGACCTACAGGAAGTACGGAAGTGTTAAGAACACCGACAGAAGATGGAGGAAGGCATGAGACAGTTTAGAAAAAAACAACCCAGGCCAGGTGCAGTGGCTCACGCCTGTAATCCCAACACTTGGAGAGGCCGAGGCAGGCAGATCACTTGATGCCGGAATTCAAGACCACCCTGGCCAACATAGCAAAACCCCGTCTCTACTGAAAATACAAAAATTAGCCAGGTGTGGTGGTGCACACCTATAATCATAGCTACTTGAAAGGCTGAGGCACAAGAATTGCTTGAACCTGGGAGGCAGAGGTGTCAGTGAGTCGAGATCATGCCACTTTTTAGGGCAACTATTATTGCCCTAAAAAGAAAAATTAGAGTACATGAATTAAATAAATAACACACTCTATACATGCACTCCAGCCTGGGTGACAGAGTAAGACCCTATCTCAAAAAAAAAAAACAAAAACAAAACCAGTAAGATCAACAATGGCATATGAAGGAAAAAAGAAAAATTGAAAGAGAAAAGCTGTGAAGGGCATTATCTGGGAGATGAGAATTTGGGGTTCTTTTCCGTATGATGAGTTACAGGTGACATGAAAAACCAAAAGGGAATGTTCTGGGACTAAGATCTAGGGGAAAAGCCCAATAAAGATTTTAATCACTAATTATCAACTTCATTTTTTTCTAACAAAATGCAGTCATTCGTTTACCTTTTGGCTCGCTCCAGGTCGTCATTGGCCTGCTCCAGCTCTCTCACATACTTATGCAATTGCTCCTTAATGGCTCGAGTCTGACTTAAATCGTCTTCTAACACTGAGACCTGCTTGTAGCTCTGTGCATACTGATGCTCTAGCTTCTCCTAAAGGCATCAGTATAGGAAAGTACATGTCATTAATATACACTCCTCTTTAATAAAGATGTAACTCAAGTTAAAAGAGTGGGGGTAGAACCCAAGGAATTTACCCACACTCTTGTAACAATTATTTTAAAAACAACTAAATCACACATTCATTCTAAGTGCCTAAACTCATGTTAAATTTTGTCAACCATTCTCCTCTCAGAAAGAAACCCAGTAACGATCTCTCTGAAAAGTATATTTAAAAAACCCTTGCCTCAAAATCCCCAAACTTGTTGGGGAAACCTCTGGGTTTTCAGGCTAAATGCAGCCATGGGTAAGCAGAGTTCAAATTCCCTACCCTTTACCTTCCCATCCAGCGTTCCCCAAACCCACCTATTCCCCAAACACTAAACACCATCAAACATGTGGCTACAGTAGATGGTGAAGGGCGGAGAAAAGGATTAATCCTTTTGCTCCTAAAAACTCCTTTTTTAGAAGGAAAATCTTTAATCCAAACTAAATTCCAAAACTGAAAGAGCTATGAGCAATAATTAAATAAATCCGTATTTCCCATAAATATAATTGTAAACATACTTCAGAATGAGGTACTCTGTCAAAATAAATAATCAGGCAGCTTTTGAAAAGTATAGGAACTAAAATATAATACAGCTAGAACATTATAGCTAGAAAAGTGACAGCTACAAAGTTTTTAAGTGAACTCCTAAACTCTAAACCACCTTTTCCCTTGGTTCCGTGAAAGAAAACATTTTATTCAAAAATTCACTTTAAGCCTTTTTTTAAAAACCACTTTTTGTCACCTGCTGCTCTTAAGCCCCTGAAAAATATACTTCTCATTTTAATTAAACCCAACACATTAGACACCAGCTTCTACTGCTGCAATTACCTTTAATGCCTCCACTTCATATTTCAGTCTTTGGTTATCAGCCTGCAAGTCTCTATTTCTTTGTTCAGCCTGTACTAATTGTGCCTCCAACTCTGCTTCTAATTCTCTGCTTCCTTCCTGGAATTCAACTAGCTCATCCCGAGCTTCCTGGAAGCTAATCAGAAACAAAGTGGGAAAGATGAGTTATAGTAAGAACCACAAGAATGGTCCTGGAGATGATTACATAGCAATTCAATAATTTTTGCTTGAAAGCTAATGCTCTCATGAAATATACTAAAGACAATCTGTTTTCCATCTCTTACTGTATATATTCAGGGTTCAATGAAAATTACTTACAAGCCCAAAAAGCAGTCACAAGTCAGTGATTACAATATTTATGAAAAGTAAGTCAACATGGTTCAATACCATTAACTTCTTCCACCACAGAACTCAGATGGGGAAAAAATGCATCTTTACTTTTATTAAAGTAACAAATTTGGCATTTCCTTCTACTTTATTCAACAGAAATCACAGATATTTTCATGTCACGACAGTATTGCTGCATCTATCTCTAAATATCACTTATTGTCATGACTATTTCAAAATTAGGTAGTTATTACATTCACTTCTGTATCTTTTTTACTTAATGCATTAATAGAGAAGTACATACTGCTATGCCATAAATTAGATAACTTTTTTTCAATATAGTTGATTTCCTTTGTAATTCTATTATTCTATGCATTTAAAAACATTATGCTGAGAAGTCCATAGGCTACCCCAGCCTATTACAACATCTATGACACAGAAAAAGATTAAGAACCCTGCCATAGATACACACCTTTCATATCCCACTGGCACAACAGAGTAACTGACTTCGGTGATAATAATAAAAGAGGAGTAAAATGTTTGATAAGACTTAGTAAACTCTGTTAACCAAAATAGGAAAATGTGTCAATATTTTATTTAGAAAGATCCCATTTTTTAAAAATTAATTTGAGACAAGTTTTGGTGCAAAAGGTTTTTATCTAAAAGTTCTCCCAACCAAATAATTGAAATTGTATGAAACATTCCATGCCCCTGAAGCTTCTCCCCCTCTCTCAAAGCTTTGCTGGCTCTAGACACTGATCATGCTTGCCTGAGGAGAACGTAATCTGTTCTACGGAGCCCTAGACAGCTTATCAGAATCTCCAAATGACCAAAATGATGAGGCAGAATCAGTGCACGCAAAGCAGGCCAAAGACGGCCTAAAAAGCATAAAGAAAGGAAATGATCAGAAGAAATCATAAATGACAGTTTTCCTCCTATTTTAATAATTTGAACAATATAAAGACTTACAGCATGTTTATACTATTTAAATACAAGCAATGTGGTGACAATTTCTAGAATCTCAATCATAGAATCCTATATCTGCAATTCTAAATTTAACTTTATGTTAAAAAGAAAAATATACAAACAAGACATGGTGCATTTCAAATGCCCTCCCCCTACTTTTAGTGTGCTTTTCAACATTACCTTTGCTTATACTTCAAGGAAAGTTCCTTCCAATAGGCAGTTTCCTCCTTTAAACTTGAAAAATCTGGTATATCTTCACCATCCATGATCAAGAAAGCCTGTGAAACGTTAAAGACAAAGAAATTATAGAACAGAGAAATCTAAGCAAAAGCATAAAATCTGGGACAAGAATAAATTGCAGCATTTTGGGAGTAAAACATGAGAGATTCTAGTGGTCAACTCTCTTGCAACTCAGGCATGTAAGCCACTTCACCGCTCCTCTCAGGGACCATCAATATTGTGAATGAGGTCTTAACAAAGGTTCTTTCATACAAAGCAACATGAGGCACTTTCAGTTGCAGCATAGGTGCTGGGTGACTTGGCTAACAGAATCATGATGCACACAGAGTTCCCGAAGTTGGTTTAAGGCCAAGTGGTCTTCTGGGAATCAGGAGACAGAAACAAGCTGATTGTCAGAGATGCTGCTGCCACATGCATGCCCTTCCCAAGTGTACTATTCCTTTAAAACAGCTGCATGGAACATTTTATGCCAGGTGACCCTACTAGAAAATCAGGCACCACATTCTCAATAATTTACTAAGATCAAATTTCTAAAAACTTCCTGTTAATTATCTTTGAAGTCCAAAGCTTCCTTCCAAAAGGCCACTAATCTCCAACTTCAATGATTTCTCTTTCATCTTGGTTGTTCTCCCAAGGCATTCAGAGAGGGGGAAAAGCAATTCAACAAACTTCTATTTGGACTAGCTACCTAAAACTCCCAACCGATCATCAGGCTCACTCTAGAGTCATGCCTACAGTTTCCTAGCACCGCCCTTCCCAAGCATCCCACTTTATATTCCAGCACTACTGTTCAAAACTATCTTAACACACCATGCTATTTCAGGTCTGGAAAACCCATTCCAGGTTTTCTCTACCTGGAATTGCTCCCCTTACTAGGAAAACTTCTGTTTATCCTTAAAACCTAGTTGTCGTCTTTTCTAGAGAGGTTTTCTTGCCCTCAATTGGACAGTATTAAAATCTCTTGCACTCTTTGCTACCTCTATACCCTACACACACTTTCACTGATATAATTACCACAGAGCAATGCATTTGCTTACACCTTTTGTGTCACCTGTTAGGTTGACTTATTTAGTTCCGTCTCAGCCCAATGCCTGCACAATAGTGGATACTCTATGATGTTTACTGAATTAAAGCATAATTGATTCAACCTAATCCATACTAGGCAGCAAGAAATTAAGACCAGCTTTAAAAGTAAATTAATAAAATCTGGAGATGCAGAGAACTTGGAGTTTATCGAGCACAAGCCACTCAGGAAGGTTTAGCAAACTTAAAGAAATGAAAGGTTAAATCTCTCCACATCATCAAACATGGAACACAGCAGTTCAATAATATTTGAATTAAGGTTGGGCATGGTGGCTCATGCCTGTAATCTCAACACATTGGGAAGCTGAGGCAAGAGGACTGCTTAAGCCCAGAAGCAGTGAGGCTGCAGTGAGCCATGAGTGTGCTACTGCACTCCAGCCTGGGCAACACAGCAAGACCCTATCTCTAAAATAAATAAGAATCGGAACTGACTCATAATCATCCTTTCATTATTCCCTCTTTACTTTCAAAGTACCACTTTATTAACATCTGAATTCCTACTTCAGGAATGGAGTAAGAAAAAAGATGCGTGGGTAGTTTACTTCTACCTCACAATGTACCACCATGTATTAAATCAGTATTAGAAAACCTATCATCAGTTAGACACAATTATTAATCTGATACACGGGCAGCCACATTCAGTCACTTACATAGGCTCAGTATCAAAGAAAAGGGAGCTGATGGGATTTATTGTGAAGAAACCTGGAGATCACCACTGCACACTAGCTACCTCGAATCATCATCGTCCGGCCCTGAAATACAAATGGACAACCAAGAGCCACCCGACAAATAAGAAAACTCAGTAGCAGGAATAAGAATATTTTAGGACCTACTGAACTGACAGGAAACAGACAACTGAGGAAATGAGAAGATTTTTTTCTTATACAAGAACTCAGGAGGTACTAGACAAAGACTTTAAAAAAAAGTCAGGAGGGCTACCTCCCACACACTTCCTGAGACAAACACAAAAGAAGGGAGAAAACCATGACCTGGAGAGCACAGGATGCAGGAAACGGGGGGGGGCCAAAACCTAGGACTGCAATAAAGAGAAGTCCCAGGATGAAGCCTAGTCCATCCGGCCCATAGAATGCTTCACACAGATTGATGACACCAAGAAAAATCAAGAATCCCGCAGAACAGATAGCATACAGCACAAGTGAGAGGCTAGATATGTTTGAGGTTGTGGTGAAGACATGTTGCTCTACTGTCAATAAGAAAAAGAGCAATTTAAAAGCTCAGGAAAAAAGCAGCAGAAGAAAGTCCTGATCTGTATACAAAACATTTTGTAAGTTAATGATTTCAAGTCTAAAATTTTTTATTGATTTTACCTTATTTGAAGCAACTGGGATAAGTTCCATAACTTTATAGCTATCAATGAACTTCCTGTTTTTGGTCTTAACTTTGCCCTAGGTCCCATGTGTTGTCCTCTTGGAAGCTTCCAGGATTTGGTGAACAAAATTGTGTTCTTCTTTTTTACTCCGCCTCTGGTTTTGTAGCCTTTGATGATAATACCTCTCAGCCTTGGTCTTCCCAAAGTGATTATTCCTTGCCTTTTTAGCCTATAATCATTTGGCAGCCATCTCAGTTCCTTAAATATTTTGTCATGCTTTATATTGTCCCTAGATATACCTATCTGCCTTTCTGGGGCCAAGTGGCTAGTGCTGCTTCTGTACCAAACATTTTATTCACTGGTTGGATAATTTTCCTTTTGAGTTTTCAGTATTCTTTCTGTTACTGTGCAGCATGTGATGATATTGCCAATAGTGTGGCCCATGAACCGATGGATGTCGTTACAGAAGTTTCTAATGACTGTTAGATGCCTTCCTTAGTATCAAACATTTATTTGAAGGTGTTTGAAATGTGAAGCCAATTTTTCTACAAAAAGAGTTACATTGTTTTGAATCTACAAATGTTATTCAGGAGTCCACTTCAAAACATTTCTGTGTGGGGGTATTTTTTGTTGGTTTTGACCCATTTACATAGTTATCAGAGGACCTACCAACAGTTAATGCTTTGAAGAGCTTTAGTCAAGTAGTGATCCCTGCAGAATAGCATCATTTATGCCTCTAGATTTACTGCGAGTATCCATTTGTCTCTGATTTTTGGTTCTTGAACAGGAACATACTCTTAATACAACTACCAACTTTCCCATGAGTGACCCCTGACAACTCGGGTTTTAAACAGCTTTTTGCATGAAACTTCTTGAGAATCCAGTTCTAGCCCTTGCATCCTCTTTGTTCAATTATTTACATTCAGTGTCAAATAATTCTAGCAAAATTATTTTACTTCACACACATTATTTTTTTTTTTTTTTTTTTTTTAGACAGAGTCTCACTCTGTTGCCCAGGCTGGAGTGCAGTGGCACAACCTCAGTTGACTGCAACCTCCGACTCCCAGGTTCAAGCAATTCTCCTGCCTCAGCCTCCCAAGTAGCTGAGATTAGAGGCGCCCACCACCACACCTGGCTAATTTTTGTATTTTTAGTAGAGATGGGTTTTAATCATGTTGGCCAGGTTGGTCTCAAACTCCCGACCTCATGATCCACCCTCCTCGGCCTCCCAAAGTGCTGGGATTACAGGCATGAGCCACCATGCCCAGCCACATTCTTTATTTTCTTGCTAAATCTTATGTGAATTCAATGTTGACCACAACTTTTCTAATCGACAGGCTATTTTCACAACATGCTTATATTATACTACAGTATTATAATATGTCAGATATCATTTACTAAATGGATCATCTCTTCCAGATCAAACCAATTTAAAACATTTAACCAAGAATAAGTCATAAGAGCAGCACAGCAAAATGGTTAAGAGCCCAGACCCTGAAGCCAAACTGCCCAGGTCTGAAGTCAGACCTGGAAGTTCTGACTCTCTACTGATGCATCTACTCACTACTTGGGTGACCTTGGGCAAGTTACTTAATTATTCGGTGCCCAGTTTCCTCAGCTGTAAAATGGGGATAATCATTAAAATGAAGTTATTAAGTGGGTTAATATTTGTAAACTACTTAGGACAGAACCTGGCACATGGTAAAAACATACATGTTCGCTGGGTGTGGTGGCTCACATCTGTAATCCTAGCACTTTGGGAGGCTGAGGCGGGTGGATCACGAGGGCAAGAGTTCAACACCAGCCTGGCTGGCCAAGAAGGTGAAACCCTGTCTACTAAAAATACAAAAAATTGTGGTGGGAGGCTGAGGTGCTCAGGCCCAGCCTCCTAATCCCAGGTGCTCAGGAGACTGAGGCAGAGAACTGCTTGAACCTGCTGTAAGCCGAGTCTGCGCCACTTCACTCCAGCCTGGGTGACAGAGCAAGACTCCATCTCAAAAAAAAAAAGAAAAAAAGAAAAACATGTTCATCAAACTATTAAAAACTGGTAGTTCAATAGCAGATCTTCCAATATGACCACGAAGTAAACAGGCTTCAAAATTTAAAACATCAAATGATTCTTTAAAATTAATCATTTCAGGAAGCTATATGCATATTCCAGTGATACCACCATTGCTGAAAAACATTTCCAAAACTACTTTTTTGGAATAAACTCTATGAGCCACACTAAGAACAAAGCAGGCTGGGCTCAGTGGCTCATGCCTATAATCCCAGTACTTTGGGAGGCTGAGGCAGGCGGATTACTTGAGGTCAAGAGTTTGGGACCAGCCTGGCCAATATGTTGAAACCTCATCTCTACTGAAAATACCAAAAAAAAAAAAAAAAAAAGTTAGCCAGGTGTGGTGGCAAGCACCTGTAATCCCAGCTACTCGGAAGGCTGAGGCAGAAGAATCACTTGAACCTGGCAGGAGGAAGTTGCAGTGAGCCTAGATCGCACCACTGTACTCCATCTCGCATGACAGAGCAAGACTTAGTCTCAAATAAAAGAAAAAAAAAGAACAAAGCAAAAACTTCTTACTTTGTGGTCACACCTCATTTGTAATTGCTTCCTAACTGGTATTATCCAGCTCCATCACCCTACTTTTTATCTATGAGATTTACCCTTTTCAAAAATCAGATTCTGGCCAGGCATAGTGGCTCGGGCATATAATACCAGCACTTTGGGAGGCTGAGATGGGAATGTCACTTGAGTCTAGGAGTTCAATACCAGCCTGGACAACAAGCCGAAACTCCATCTCTAACAAAAATGAGCTGGGCGTGGTGGCACGCACCTTGTGGTCTCAGTTACTCATGAGAGTGAGGTGAGAGGATCACTTGAGTCTAGATAGTTGAGGCTGCAGTAAGCCATAGTCGTGCCACTGCACTCCAGGGTGACAAAATGAGACCCTGTCTCCAAAAAAGTAAAAATAAAAATCAGATTCTTTACAAATAGCAAAATTTGCTACCACTGCAGCTACTCAAAAGACAGTTTCAAGGACTGTTTTACAGTCTGTTCAGTTTGCTTCAAGTAACATTGGGAGGATGTGTTCACTGTGTTATTTGAAACTACGTAACTAGAGATATTCAGGCTATAGACAGTTAGCTAATATAGAAAACATATTGCTAAAACAATGTTCTAATGGTACATTCACAATTTTCTGAAACTAGAATGAAGACGGATAATTATGTATTATTCTCACCTGCCCCCACCCCATATTTAATACCAGGTCTCAATACCAACAGTCTCAAAAGCATGACAGTTTTTACAAAAAGCATTACCATACTGTGTATGACCTTCAGAAATCTAGCAACAATCAACTCATTTGGGTTTAAAACAGCCTGTCCAAAACGCCTTTTATTTACAAGGAATTACTCTTTGCACAATGGTAAGATAATCTATTTTAAATAATATTGTTGCTTGTTAACAGTTGTAAAATGGACTAGTGAGGTTGGAAGAGTTCTTCCAAAACTGACTGTTGGTAACACATGCCTTTTTACTGAAATTCTACTACTCGCAAAGGTGACATTTACAGAATTTTTAACTCCTCAAAGTTGATCATAAACATGGTCTCTCTGATTTTATCAGACTATTTTTTTTATGGAGTGTTTAGAAACTTACGTCAGAAGCAGTTTTAAGCTTTAGTAACCAAATTTATCTCAGCATGGTTTACAATGAAAATAAAAATAAATTGTTTTGCGGATGTCATGAAAGCAAGACCTAGGTTTTACTAAGGTTCCTACTTATTTTAAGCTCCTTATCCAACTTCAATTTATTTAATTTTAAAAATCCAGCCTGGTCGACAGAGCAAGACTCCGTCTCCCCCCCCCCCACCCCACCAAAAAAAAAAATCAAAAGAACTACAGCTTCAGAAGATTTAGCAACTTCTATCTGGATCAAGTCAACCTCTAACCAGGACTGGCCAAAGATTTTCTTTGTTCCTCATACATTCAAATTTTAAATAACAATAATCTTAATAATTCAGAAGATATATCTCTTAGTTTCCCTTTACTTCTCTTCAGCCCATGACTTAACGCTGCATTGTGCCCATCAGCTTCATGATTTAGCAAAGCCATTACCCTAGCTTTTAAGCACATTAAGTGCAACACAATTTATCAGACAAAATAATTAACCAGCAACTCCTGAACAAGCTTCACAGTAAGATTTTTCTCATGACTGAGCAGCAGTTTTTATCCTAGGTGAGTTTGCTCAAAAATAAAATCTGGCATATCTTGGCAAGTCACATTTTCTGCCTTGTTTTCTAGCTGAGAAGGATATAAAAATCCCACGAAAAGAAACCAGAACTCCGAGCCTAGAAATGTAAATTACGATCCAAGCTAAGCCACTCACCAGTTGGTTGTATAAATCAATTACCCCATCCCAGCTGAATGTCTCTATCCAAATGGCGATAACATAATCAGTTGCAACCACCAGGTGATGCGGTTCAAAAGAAATAGGAAGAAGAGTGTTCTGAAACGTGTAAAAGCGCTACGTAAATAGAAGGTAATCGTCAGTAGTGATAGAACTCTAGCTTCCTCTGCAAAACTTAAAAGGGTCATCTCGTGGCTTACAGAAAGAAAAGAGGCGAGCACAAGTAACCCGAGCCCGTAGGTGACACTTTCCCGACTCCAAGGGGAGGATGATTAGCAGTTCGGGGCGGAAGTCAGGGGAATGCCAATCCGAGCCCAACGTGGGCTGCTCGCGCTCTCGCCTCCCATGGGAAAGAGGCTCTGAGAGAATAAAATCCAACCCGGCTCCAAGCCACCCTCGCAACTGAAGGAATTTCGGGGAGAGGAGAGGAGGAGGGCTGAGCGCGCCGCTGCCACCTCCGACTGGGCCACTCCTTGCGCCGCCAGCGCCCGGGCTCAAGGTGCCACGTCCTGGCCTCCGTCACCGCCATCCCTCACCCCACCCCGGAACGGGGCACATCCTCCAGAGACCTCAGGGCTCGTTCTCTTGCAAGCGCCCCTGGGATGCCAACGTAGGAACAGGGAAGGAAGGGGACAGTTAGAGCGGTTGGAACAGTTGCCCCGGGCTACCCGCCCCAGAACCCCGCCGGGTCCGCCCCGGCGGAGCGTCAGACACGGCCCCGGGCCGGGCAGGCTCCCCAAGGGCAGGCCTTTGCGCCGCCAGCCCGGCGCAGCCCCTTAGGGAGTGGCCCTGCGCTGCAAGCTCACCTCCAATGTGTCAAAAGCGCATGTTCGCCGCCGCTCGACCGACGTCTCCGCTCCGCTGGCTTGGCCAGGCCCACCCAGCCTCTCAGCTCGGCTCCCCTCCGCAGCCCCGAGCTCCACTCCGCGCACCTCCGCGCCCGGCTCCTCCCCGACACGTCAGGGCTGCCTGGGTGTCCGAGGCCATTCTGTGACGCACGGAGGTGGGGCTCGGAGCATGCGCGGCAGCCCGCTGGTGGGAAGGGGGGCGGGGAAGGGCTGGTGTCACAGGGGGCGGGCCAGAATCCGGCGCGCTGACGTCAAATTGAAGGCGTCCTTTTGCGCAGGCGCCCCTGGACCCCACGACCCGCTGCCTTAGGCTTCTCCGGTTCCCAAACTGCTATTCCGGAGAGTGGCACCAAGACAGATGGGATCCTGCCTTTAGTTTTACGGCCACCAAGGCCCTTCAAGTGTCCATGTGTCAGTGTTCCCGTTTATAAAATGAATCTCGGCTCATAGTTCACCTTGGATTACATTCCCCCTGCCGAACACCCAGTGGAACACTAGGAGCATTCTATTCACTCTTCACCACGCTCACAAAGCTCTGTGTTGTTTTTACAGCACTTCCACTGCTTAAATTTTATACTTGTTCTTGTCTTCCTCCAGTAGAATTTTAAGTTTTATTAGAGCTAGAACCTCTTATGCCTTGCTCATCCCAACAAATAACTTGATTCTAGGCAAAGTGGACGCTCAGATATTTGATGAATGAATGAATGGATTCGTTGGCACCAAGAGGATTTCATATCTGCCCGTTTATATATTGTATATATCTGATCATACATTCATTTTTATATACATCCGTGTATTTGTGTGACTTTCTCCCCTCCAGGGCCCCCAAGAAATGGAGACCTACATATCTTTTATATATTTAAAATATATATACCTCTTACAATCCATCTTGCATTATTAATGTTTATATATGTTTTAGTATGTAAACACACGTACGTGTGTGTGTGTGTGTATACGTGTGTATTTCCTAATGGACTTGGAAGGAGGCTGGAGGAGATAGTGCAAAACAAAAAGAGGGATACGCAACTTACATAGAGAGTGGAAACTTAATGGAAGAGATACATTTTTAAAACAAGTTTAAGAACTTTTGCTGTATAATGTACGATGTAATCTTTCCTTTTGTATTTTAGAGGCAGGGTCTACTATGTTGCCCAGGCTGGTCAAGAACTCCTGACTTCAGCTCACACCTGTACCAGCACTTTGAGAGGCCGAGGCAGGTGAATCACTTGAAGCCAGGAGTTCGAGACCAGACTGGCCAACATGATGAAACCCCGCATCTACTAAAAGTGCAAAAATGAGCTGGGCATGGTGGCAGGCACCTGTAATCCCAACTACTCAGGAGGCTGAGGCAGGAGAATTGCTTGAACTCAGGAGGCAGAGGTTGCAGTGAGCTGAGATCACACCACTAGACTCCTGCCTGGGTGACAGAGTGAGACTCCAACTAAAACAAACAAACAAACAAAAACAAAACAAAAAAGAACTCCTGACTTCAGGCAATCTTCCCACCACCACAGCCTCCCAAAGTTCTGGGATTACAGGCGCCAGCCTCCATGCTGGACCCAACGTAATCCTTTATAATTTCAGTGCTTTTAGAATTGAATTTGTGGGTGTGAACACAAAAATAATGTGTAAGGTGAAAGCAAAGTAAGCCTAGGAGGCCTAGTTTATACTTTTGAGGGAGATGGAGATAAACATGAACAATGCAAGATGGATTGTAAGAGGTATCCAAATCAATAAAGATCAGAGAAGGGATTAATGGGGTTTGTGGGAAGGGTAACATATTACATATGCTGATTATGAATAATATGCATATTATGAAAAAACTAGGCATGGATTTCAATTTTTTTTTTTTTTTTTGCACAAGGCCAAGCATGGTGGCTCATATCTGTAATCCCAGCACTTTGGGAGGCTCAGGTGGTCAGATCAGTTGAGCCCAGGAGTTCAATACCAGCCTGAGCAACATAGAGAGACACCTGTCTCTAAAATATAAAATAAATGTTGGCACCAAAATAAATGTGTTCTAACTTGCTATAACATTTCTGAACAGGATCTAGCTTGAAGCACTGAGATAGATAAGAAATCAGTTTGAAAAGAGTCCCTATAAGAACAGGTATTCTACAAAATTGAAGCAATAAAAATATTAAATTTATGGTGAAGGCTGGGTGGAAAAATGGTGAAATCATTAATGCTTTATAAAAAGTGTATAAGGACATTGCCCCAAAATAAATCAGCAGTTTATAAATGGATAACCCATTTTAAGAAGAAACAGGACAATGTTGAAGATGAAGCCCACAGCAGCATACCTTCCATATCAATTTGTGAGGGAAAAAGTAATCTTGTTCATACCCTAATGGAAGAGGATCAATGATTAACAGCAGAAACAATAGACAGCACCACAGATATCTCAACTGATTTAGCCTACACAATCCTGACTCAAAAATTAAAGTTGAGCGAGATTTCCACTCAATAGGTGCCAAAACCATTGTTCCCAGATTAGCTGCTGACAAGAACAGAGCTTTCAAAATGTCACAAATTTTAAACAAGTGGGATCAAGATCATGAAGCATTTCTTTGAAGAGTCGTAACCAGAAATGAAACTTGGCTTTACCAGTACAATACTGAAGACAAAGCCCAATCAAAGCAATGGCTACCAAGAGATGGAAGTGGTCCAGTCAAAGCAAAGTGAACCAGTCAAGAGAAAAAATCATGGCAACCATTTTTTGAATTGTTCAAGGCATTTTGCTTATTGACTTTCTGGAGGGCTAAAGAATAATAACATCTGTTTATGGCCAGGTAATCCCAGCACTTTGGGAGGCCAGGGCAGGCAGATCATGAGGTCAGGAGATTGAGACCATCCTGGCCAACATGGTGAAACAAAAATTAGTTGGCTGTGGTGGCATGTGCCTGTAATCCCAGCTACTCGGGAGGCTGAGGCAGGAGAATCACTTGAACCAGGGAGTCAGAGGTTACAGTGAGCTGAGATCACACCACTGCACTCCGGGCTGGTGACAGAGTGAGACTCTGTCTCAAAAAATAAATAAATAAATAATAATATGTTTATTATGAGAATGTTTTGAGAAGGTTAGCCAAAGCTTTAGTGGAAAAATGCCCAGGAAGCCTTCACTAGGAAGACCTTTCCACCATGACAAGTTCCTGTTCATCTGTCTCATCAAACAAGGGCAATTTTGCAAGAGTTTCAGTGGGAAATCACTAGACATCACCTTACAGTCCCAATTGGCTCCTTCTGAAGACATTTTGTTTCCCAATCTTAAAAAACCTTTAAAGAGCACCAGTTTTTCTTTAGTTAATAATGTAAAAAAGACTTCTAATGTGAGCATGTCGTTAACGTGCTTAAAATCCCCAGATCCTGAGTTCTTTAGGAACGTACTAAATAAATGGCAGATATCATTGGTTACAAAAGTGTCTTGACCTTGGCTGGGCACAGTGGCTCACACCTGTAATCCCAGCACTTTGGGAGGCCAAGGCAGGCAGATCACTTGAGGCCAGGAGTTCAAGACTAGCCTGGCCAAGATGGTGAAACCCGTCTCTACTAAAAATACAGAAAAATTAGCTGGATGCGATGGCATGTGCCCATAATCCCAGCTACTCAGGTGGCTGAGGCATGAGAATCACTTGGACCTGGGAGTTGGAGGATGCAGTGAGCCAAGATCATGCCACACCATTGCACTCCAACCTGGGTGACAGAGCGAGACTCTATCTCAAAAAAAAATAAGTGTCTTGACCTTGATGGAGCTTATGTTGAGAAATAAAGTTTATATATTTTATTTTATATTTCAATTCCATTTTTCTATGAACTTTTCAAAGTTCTCTTGTATGCACTGGCAAATGTGCTATACACTTGGTCTGCGCAATTTCATCCTCACAATGATCCCATGAGATAGGTACTGTTATTCCATTTTTTTTTTTTTTTTTTGAGATGGAGTTTCACTCTTGATGCCCAGACTGTAGTGCAATGGTGTGATCTCAGCTCACCACAACCTCCACCTTCAAGGTACAAGCAATTCTCTTGCCTCAGCCTCCCAAGTAGCTGGGATTATAGGCATGCACCACCATGCCTGTCTAATTTTGTATTTTTTATAGAGATGGGGTTTCTCCATATTGGCCAGGTTGGTCTTGAACTCCTGACCTCAGGTGATTTGCCTGCCTTGGCCTCCCAAAGTGCTGGGACTATAGGCATGAGCCACCACATCTGGCCCCTTATTCCCATTTTTTAAATGAGAAAACAGACTCATCAAGAAGAAGTTTCCCAAAGTCTCTCAGCTAGAAAGATGAGGCCTCAAGCCTCAAACCCATCCAGTTTGGATTGTCTAACTCTCCAGAAAACACACTATTAACAACTATTATACTGCTATTCAAGAATGAGGAGTACTCGCAATAACTACCATTTATTGGTCTAGAGCACCGTGCTAAGTGCTTTACATGCTTTCCCTCCCTCAATCCTCACAACATGCCTGTGAGGCTGTAATTATTGCTTCCATTTTACATACTGTAAACTCAGACCCAGAGGAGCTAGGGCTTAAACCCCAGCAGCCTTACTTCAAGGCCTGTGGCCTGAGACAGTGGACTGGTACAGCTCGTTCAGGCTCTGGGGCTTCCCTGGCTGAAGCTATGCTCTGGCTGATGAGATCACAGACAGGGAGGGGATGAACCAAGGCTTTCCTGTGGACCTGGTGCCAATATGGAACAGTCCTATCCCAAGAGGAAAAAATAAGAGCTGCGGCTCTGTCCCTGCCTCGTAGCTTCAGTGCTGGGAAATGCACTGAGTCATCTAATGCCAGGCCAGGCCCCTCGAAAAATGTTGGCATCATCTTCCAAGCTGCCACCCCTCCCACGCAGCCTGGACCCAGAACTGGTGTTTGTCAGGACTGGACTGTTGGCTTCATCTTAATGAATAGGCTTTGCCTGGAAAGATTCTATGAGGTGCCAAAGGGCCCATACTGGTCTAGTTCCTTCCTCCTCGTGAGTTGAGCTTTCTCCCTGGGAGATGGGTTCGGGCTGGGCATGTCAATTAACCATCAGCAACCTTTGCCCCAGCCCCTGCTTCTAATATGCCAAATCCAGAAAAAAATAAAATGGAAAGGAAGATGGAAATCAGTCCTGAAAAGGAACAGAAGTTATAAACCAGCCATGTGGTGGTAGAAA